AGCCTCAAAGAAGACAACATGCTGCGTCTTGTAGAAGCGTTTGTTTTGTGACACTTTACCTACGTCACCGCGATGCACAAATGGCTACGAGCTCAGCGCGATCAACTCAATGCCCTTATTCAAAAGATGGTCATACGATCCCTCGCCCTATCACCACTATGATGCACAAACTCCTCGAGCTTGGGGTACACAACACGTCAGAAGAGGTCACCGAGGCTCAGTAATGATTGCACGGACTCAGGACCCCCAAGGTGCGCTGTCATAATTTTCACGAGCTCGGCTTCTTCTCCTCGACAGCCAGGGATCCCCCAGAGTTCACTGTCATTCCCAGTGAAATCTGCGACCTTTTCGCGATCACTCCGCGAAATGTACACCCTGAATACGGCAGCGACCGTCATTCTGAAGTGCATAGACATTAAAGCGGACAACGTTTCATTCGTGGACGCCGCTGCCTATCGCAGCAACCGAGCCTTCACCCTGGTCACGGTATCATCCACGCAGCAGATTTTGGACTCCGCCACGATCCCCATCCGGGAGCAAGTAGCTATAGCGATAGGTGTGCTCGACAGCAAACGGGAAGTCATGTACAGCGACTTCAGGCTGGTCATCAAAGCCTTCGAACATGGCGTCGTTTCAAACCAGGCGTTAAGCAGAGCCGAGTGCTATGAAGCACTACACTGTAATCTGGTTCCCCGCCTATGTCGTCCGTGTGCCAGGCACCATCGAACCTTAACGAAATCGCCCATGATGCAGTGCGTGCACTTACCGACCACGCCGCCACAGGGCAATTCAATCTCGCTTAGTTAGAGACCAATCGGGTGCATGCAGCACCCATTACGTACATGATAAAGCACTTTTACATTGAATGCAGCATTTTCTACCCCTCCCCTCCCCACCCTAAACTTAACAGACCACCAGCGCTAACGCTACGCTTATTACAAACTCATATGCACTCAAATCAAGCTTCACGTTTACTATCCCGATGTGTACCTCCGAGACACGTGCCCCTCGTGCGGGCACGCGGTGACACTCGCACACATGCTCCGAGAGTGTAGAACCACTCCTGCTGACTCTACCTCAAACGAGTGGGAGAGGTCTCTCAGAAGCTCACTTGTCGCCGATCGTGGGAGACGCCCACTACACGCTAAGTGCGTCCTGCAGGTCGCTAAGTGCGTCCTGCAGTTTTTTTATTCCATTCCAACCCGATGACCGACAGCTACGATGACGATGCTGCTGAAGATGATGGCTTATATGAATGTCTCACAGCCACTCTGGCGGATTGTCCAAGAAACAATTATTTAAATAGTAAATCAAATGATACGATCAACCTAGAATGATGACGATGATGATCACAGAAGAAATGACGAAGACGCATTAGGAAAGCATTATGATGATGACAGTGTACAGAAGAAGAAGAGTAGCATAAAAATAAGTGCCGACAATAATTTCCCCAAGTGAAAGCTGCCAGCCTGGCCACACCAAGTCAAAGAAACGAGGAGCTACTGATGACGGGATTCACCCAGGAGAGGTAGAAAACTTCAGTACTTGGATAACGGTGGTCTGCGGCTAATCCAGAGCGTAACGCGGTAAATCACGGGTGATGTATCTACAAGAAACGTGTATGGCCCGATGAACCTTGTCTGAAACGTGTCACACAAACTAAGTGTGCGAATTAACATGTGTGAACCAGCTCCTTGTCACCAAGGTGGTCTCAATGAGAACCGCTCAAAGACTGCCTCAACCACGATCTCACAGTATTTACGCCAGCAGTGGTGTCATTTATCCTGTGAAGCAGCGTTCTCCAAAAGAACTCCGCAGCATGATGAGCCAAGTATTTTCTCGTGACACCAAGCTTCGACACTGCTGCCAGAAGTTTTCGAGGTCCTGTGATGACCCAATCGTAGGACACCTGATTGTTTTCTGCACGTTTGCCACAATACCGTAAAGATGTTACTGGCCGTGCATCTCTTCTGACGTTGCTTGTTAATTCAACACTTGTCGAGATATTTCGCAGCAAAAGACACTGACGATTCAGCAGGCTAGACTTAAACAGCTCATCGAAGCAGCTAACCGGCCGTGCAGCAAATAGAGATGGATTCACCCGGGTCCTGGGCCAGTTCTGACCTTGATTTCTTGAAACAAGTGAATTATTGTAGCTGCCGACTTTCTCACCTGCTACGCCGATACAAGGGCCCTGCCCACATGAAGGTACTACATTTGAAGTAGCCGAATGTTTTGTTGAAAACATCATGCTGTGTCACAGTGACCCGGAGGTCTTCATCACCGACAGAGGAGGGACACGTAATGATGCTGACCTACCTCAGGTGATCTAAGCAGCAAGCCAGACTAGCCCGACTGTACAATAGAGCACCACCTACGGACCAATGCCCTCAGCAAGCCGTTGAACAGCACTCGTAGATGTGCTGGCCATGCATGCCGATGTCAAAAATAAGACGTGGTATGTCGTCCTTCGGTAAGTGACCTTCGCATACAACGGGGCCATGCAAAAAACGGTGAAAATGGCGACTTGCAAGCTGGTCTACAGAAAAAACCCAGAAGCGACATTCGACGTCATGTTACTCAAAGTCTTTGACGAAGAAAACCTCGGCGTTACCACATACATTTACTTACTGAAGCAACCCTACTTGCCCGTCTGCACATCCAGAGGTAGCAAGAGACCCGCAGTCATTGTGACAACCTTCGAGGGCATCACGTAGAATATCACCCTGGCGACCATGTCTTGATCTGGATCCTAATACTTCTAGGCGGATTTATTGACAAGCTTCATTGACGGTACGTCAGGCCGTACAGGGTACTGCAAAATCTCTGTGAATTCACTTACGGCGCTACCCGCGACGGCAACGCAAACTTGGAGGTCCTGCATGTGGTGCACCTGACGCCTTTTAACTTGCAATAAAGAACCTGTGTGCTCAAGTTTTCTTTTGCTCTATCATTTTTCCCTTTTCATGCATGCATGCTTTTAATTTCAAGTTTGGTTTCAAATATCAGGGCAATGTTTTTCAAGAGGGGGGGGGGGAATCAGCACGCTTCTGATTTTGATGTGCTAGGTGTAAAACTCTAAAGGCTGTCATCAACCTTCGGTGCAGATCACGCTGCAGTGTTCGCAAAGCTTCGCGATTTTAGGTGATCATTTTATTAGGATTGCGCGGAGGGTGCGAATAGCAAAGCTTATTCCAAAGCTTGCACAACCATGAACTATAAGGCTGGAAAGTTCAATGCGATGTTTAGAAGGCAGTGCAACCCAGCGGTGACCACAGTTAATGACGGCCGATGCTCTGTTCGATGCTGTTCTGATTCAGTATGTTTTGCCGTATTAGCGGCTCCTCGCCATGGTATCAATAAACAGAAAGCTTCGACACACCGAATGTTCTGCACATTAGCGTTAACATCATGGATTAATATTTTTTTATATGTTAATGTCACGAGTAATCTGTAATCTTTTGCTAAGAATGGAATGAGAGAGCGAGAGAGACCGGAAACCGTGGTTGGAGTGCAAAGTATCACACCAGAAAATTGAAAGTCAAAACAAACATTTACGGCCACCCAAAACAAACTCAATAACAAAACGTACATAGTTTAACAAAAACTGACTACAGACCTGTTTGAACCTGCCTTTAGCCCTAACCGATACCGAGTCAATATGGTGCCTCAGCATTCATACGTTATGACAGTTCACGTCGACTCCGCACCTTTACTGTGTCAACGGTATGCCGAGCCCATTGTTGACGTACTCCACAAACTCCCGCGTTTGCCGCTGGTTGTTTTCGTCGATTGAGTCGCTTATCCTCATTGACAGTGTCCCAGTCTTGGTCGTTATCTTCTGCCTAGCTAGGTTAGGCCTAATTCGTCATTGGCTTCCTTGATGACGGGTCATCTCCGCTGACTGGTGTGGGCTGATACCGTCATTGCTCGTAGTGAGAGAGATCTCGGTCCACCAAGAACTGCTGTGAAAGGATCGGGCAGCCTCCCTTGGGTCTTCCGGGCTCGACGACCACTCCCCGGACTCCTCGCGCCGACAGCCTTCAGAACCAGACAGCTACTGCTTCCGTCAATGGAGCGACGCTATATTCAGTAATTTTTGCAGCTTGAATCCCCACAGCCTGGTTGTAACTCTTCCTCTGCAATTTCCCCTCCCGGCTTGAGTGACGTGCCATGAGCCTTTTTGTCGCTAATCGTGTATCTGAACGTGGCACGTATCTGCATCAGTAGAGACTCACGGACTATCATCACATTCCGGTGCCAGGCACGCGCTCGATCCCTTTTACTCACGAGAGTCGCTCAAAGAAGATGCCACCCGAAGCACTTCTGATTGTAAACTGCGTTTTGAACAACTATATTTTTACGACGATATCCAAAAAGAGAAGACGAAGGCTGGTACAACAATATTCAAATGCTTAATATCCCCGTTATCATATTCACTTGACCGTCTAGCTGAATACCGTCTAGCTGAATGAAGCAGTTTATTAAGACATGTCTTAAGTGGAAATTGTGCCTGCAAATACTACTACTACTACTACTACTACTACTACTACTACTGCTACTACTACTAATAATAATAATAATATTAATATAGTAACATAATAACATTGTTATCTGGGGATTTACGTGCAGAAACCACAATGTTTTAATCACAGGCACCTTGTGAATAGCTTGGGAACTTTCGACTATTTGGTGTCCTTTAACCTGCCCTCACATGGCACAGTTCATGGACCTGTCGCATGCCGACCACATCCAGATGCGGCTGCCATGGCCGGCATCAAGCCCGCGGTTGCCCGAGCATTGTTTACGACGCCGGTTGCAGTTCCTGCGTATGTAACCACTGCAGACACATGGCGGACTGCCCGTGAATGCCCAATAAGTATACTAAAATAACTGTGTGGTATTGTACACTGCTGGGCAAAATTTAGATTGTGAGACAAGGTGTAATTGTATATACAATGGACAACCAACGAACGCGATCAACTCAGTCACACATAACAGTAGTGACAAAAGCGGGCTTTTTTATTACATACAAATTGAAAATTTTGTGTCATGAAGCAATCTGGGCTCCTAGGAGGATTAAATTGCAGAATGGTGGTGGGGGCGGCTGAAATTGCAATTGTTCCAGTATTTTCGCACGGAATAGAAGACACCAACTAGACTGCTGCAGTTATCGTAGAACGCCTGATCGCATTCCTGGCATTCCCTCCATGGGGCACTTTCACGCATCCAGAAGAGGCATTTCTTTTGGTCTGAAAGGAGGTCATAGCTGATCAGGTGAGATACACTTACAGAAGAAACAATCTGTCTCACCCAGAAAAGTATATAAACTCTTTCACACAATTGTGTTTTTGGAACAAAATACAACAACTACTGTCCGTTTCTGTAGTTCTTTAGGTGTGGTAATACTATGCTCATGAAAAAAAAAATGTTGCTCCTCTGTTCCGCATCCACGTTGATTATGTAAAAAAATTTATTTATTACGGATACGTTGCCAAGGAAATGTCGGCTCAAATATGAGGCTCTGGTTACTTCTTACCTCTTGATTACAGCAAGCACAGAACACAAGAATAAATTTGTGCACAAGCTGTACAACATAACAAAAAACAACTCTGTTACGTAAAAACTTTTCGCCGATACTACTTATCGCAGCAATTCAGTTCATGCGAAGGCAAAGTTGGCAGAACCCACGTACTCTTGGAATCGATGACATGCGAAGCACGAATGAGGAAGGTTAATATGCCACTTTAAATCAGCAATGAAATAAATCAGGCTGACATAAATTATGCCATACATGATTTCCATGCCATGAATATCATGTTTGAATGTGTAATTTGTCTTCGCCATCTATTCTCGTCACGTCATACCAAATATGATAATCGTAACGTACGTGTGTTCTACAACACACGTAGGTTAGAATTATTATATTTGGACGTGTCATTTGCCTCCTTTCGCTATTCACGTCATGCGATACTAAATTTGGTGTATGTGGAGCTAGTGGAACGGCCGCGAGCACGCTATGAGTGGCGTAGAATGCAGCATGTTTAAGATGTCACGCATATAAAAATTATCATGTTTGGACGTGTCATTTACTTTCGTCGTCCACTCAGATCACCTAACACCAAAATTTTTATATGCGAAGCTAGCGAAACGACCGTGAACAGGACGAATTTGATGATGCAATAGTTTGTTTACCATTTCACTTAAAAATTCGTCCAGTATCATTTTATTTTTCTTTCTCGTAAATAGAACAATAGTAACGTGTTAATAAAGAAGTTTTTCATCAAAACGATTAGTTTCTTGGTCAATCCCCCGGCGTGGGTATCACTCTTCTGTCACTGACACTGTCGTGCACCTCGCTGAGTGCCCGTCGATAAACGTCTTAACAATTTGGCGAAGAGTGCTGTGCCCTTGAAGCATCTTTGGTCCGCAATAAATGTCCTTGGAGCTGCGATTCTGTGTCGTGCCATATATCATGCTACAGAACACCGCTCAGGAAATTCTTCCTCTGGCACCGACGAGATGCCCCGGTGCCCCTCTATACACGACCCTACTGCATTGACCAGTGCGGATGGCACCGACGTCAAGAATGGACTCGCTATTTACGAACACTTGGCCGTCCGCAATCATTGAGACAAGGCAGCAAAATCGGCAACCTGGTTTTCTGTCTGGTGAGTGTAGCTGGCATGTGGTATAACAACCACGCATCTTATTTCCTGACTTCGTGCCCTTTAAGACCACCGCCCACGACTTGCTCAGGCATCCTGCCATTTGTAAGCTCCAAGCTGAACAGCGTTTGCGTGAACGAGCACAGCGGACCGGTGAGTTTTTCAGTAGCTGCATTAAGGACATCCTTGACTTGTGCAAGCAAGTGGACGCGTGCATGTCAGAGCGTCACATAATTACGCATGTTCTGAAGGGCATCACCGACGATGCCTTTACCATGCTGTTGGCCAAGAACTCTCGCACTGTGGCGGGGGCCATTACGATGTGTCATAGTGACTAGGAGCTCTGCCGGCCACGCTTGATGACCCGTCGATCACCAGCATGTGACGCTGACCTCGCGGGATTGTCGGATATTTCTCACCACACCACCTTGCTTACCGAAATCAAGAGGTTCGTGCTGAGGAAATTGCCCACCAGATTTTTACTGGCTTTCACTCCACTGCAACATATCGAAGAGCGGTGTACTACATCTCTGCGTTTCCACTGCCGAGCGATTCAGCACGAAATGGTGTGGGTATTTCTTGAAGAACAACAACCGCCTCCAGTGCCTGTGCCACTAAGCTATGCCCAAGTTGTAGCCTGGCGGCCCCCATCAATTCCTGTGGCTGACACGCTTAGTTACGTTGTACTTGTCACCAGACCCCAGGCCTTCGACGCAACGATGCCGCATACATACGCCGACGTCATCCACGGTCAGCGACTGCCACCCACCATGCATTCATATTAGCAGATGCATCGCTCATTGTGTTTTACGACATAGATTGGACCCCCAAATGGACGGTGCACTTCTTGAAACCACCCTATCTGCTTTGCCTGCGGTTGTACTGGTCACGTCGCACGCTTGCGATCGCGTGCAGCAGCCTCGCGTCACACCCTCCCAGCTAACCGAGTCGGCCTCATTATGACTAACGCGGCCTATATCACCGACGTCCCACCCCGCACCATTTACACGCCATTCACCGTCTCCACGACGCTATTCACTGTCGCCGATGCAGCCACGACTGCTCGCAGGCGACCGAAAAACCTAGTCGTGACCATTCATGAGACAAGGGCTGTGACGCTGTCGAACAGAGAAAGCACCCAGAGAAGCCAAACGAACGCGATAGAAGCGTTTGCGGACAGTCTTCTCGCATATGCCTTTGTAGACACTAGAGCTTTGAATAAAACTAAAATGCCATGCTATTTGTGTGACTAGGTACCATAGTTTCCTGTTACAACTAAAATACAATGGTATTTGTTTGACTTGACATCATTGCTTCCTGTTACAACTGAATAAAGCAAGCACTGTGCACGCTAAAGAACCTGCGTATGTGAGAAGCAAGCAAGCAACGCCGCAGATATGACAGGTACGCTGTTGGTTGCATTAATTCATCTGCGGCAAATGCCACGGACGCAGAATAAAGCTTTGCAGAATAGGTTTCCTTTGGAAACGGAGGCAAACTGAACGGTGGTTCATTTAAACATTTATATCTACTCATCAGTTGGTATTAGGTTTGCTGGCGTGAACTTGAAGCGCACTCGTAGAAGACTCGCCACCTATAGCCTTATCGCGAGTCCTTACCAATAAGGGGCCTATGAAAACTAATATGAGATACAATTTTTCAGGCTAGCGCACAAAAATACGCCATTGGTTTTCCTGGTATTGCGTCACATACACTTTTTGTTCCAACGAAAGTGTTCCATCTTCACAGAGATCATGCTAAGCCCTGTAAAGCAGCTGACCAGCCATGATTTCTTGAACGTATGTGATTCTATGGAACATTTTCTACCATTTATATCTACCTTGCGGACGCCCCCGTCAAGCCGTGAACCCAGCCCAAGTCAGAAACAAGACATTGGTACCAACGTTGAGCAGCGAGCAATCCGAATTCAACATACTTTATCGCCAGAGTATGCACCTCTGCACTAAAACACAAGGAAGGTGAAGACGCTACACGCATCTTCGACGTTACAGCTACGTTGAAGCCACTGCGGCGCCTTCACGCATCCTGCAGCGGCTGAAGCGTGGAAGGTACGTGGATTCAAGTCACGGACCTTGTACGTTTGACCACTTGAAGATCCGGAAAGCAGCCTAGAAGAATATGACCGAGCCGCCGCCTTCATTGCCTGGACCAGCGAGAACAAGCTTCGACATGCGCACTTCGCCTTGCAAGACACCGCTCGTACCTGGTTCGAGAAGCAAGCGCTAACCATGGCAATCTGAGGCTTATTGCGCACCTTCTTCCTCACTACATTCGCGAGCGTCATCTACAAGAAGAAGGCCCAAGTGGTGCTTGAAACCTGTTCACAGCTACCTAACGAAAACTTGCCCGTCTTCACGAAAGAATTGTAGCGCCGCGAAACAGTGCTTCTGTGCGCGAGTGTCAAGAGGGCAAGCACGAACAATCATGTGCCTTTTCTTCGTGCACTTCAAGGGAAATAAAATACAAGTTGTTGTTTGGGATGCGTGTGGTTCATTTCGCTTGCGCGACCTGCTCACCCAGCTCAGCCTCACAGTGCGTTCCAACATTTGTGAGCCGGAATTGTGGTGCAGCCACTGGGGTCGGGCATCAACGTCGCTATGACTTCGACGTCGACGAAAGACTCCCCGACTATGACTTCGAAGCCTACAACGGGCGCTACGCTGAGAGTCTCTTCAGTCGACGGTAAGCTGCCACCCTTTTGGACCGCGGATCCCACACCCTGGTTTATTCAAGTAGAAGCCCAGTTCGCAGCGCAACGCATCACATTAGACTTGACCAAATACCACTACGTCGTAAGCAGCCTCCCGCCACCCATAGCCAGTGAAATACGGGACCTCTTACTCGACTCACCTGCCGAAAAAGAATACGTAACGCTAAAAGAAACTGTCATCCGCCGTGTCACGCCCCCCGAATCGCAGCGCCTACATCAATTGTTTTACGGCACGAACCTCGGCGACCATACACCTAGTCAGCTGTTGCGGCACATGCAACTATTACGCGGCGAAACAACAAACAGCGTAAACGGAGCATTGTTTCGAGAGCTTTTTTTGCAAAAGCTGCCGTCAAGTGTTCACGTGGTTATCGAAGCATCACAGCAGAAAGAACTACCTGCGGTCGCCGAGCTCGCTGATAGACTCGTGGTGACCACCACTCCCACATCACTGGCTGCCGTGCAAGAACAATGGGCTCAGGATGAACTTCAGCAAATGCGTGGAGATACAGCTCGACTCACTGAGACATTATCAGCTTTGCGTACAAGCAGGAAAGCACGAGATGCAAGTGAGCCAAACACGTCAGTACCACAGCCACAGTGTAAAAATGTATGTTAGTATCATAGGCGGTTCGGAAATCCTCTGTGTAACTGTGTTCCACCCTGAGCGCACTCGGCAAATGACCGCGGCAAACACTGAGGGCGACCGGTACTGCTGCGTTGCCTTTAAGTCCTCCCTCGGTATTTTTTCGTTACTTACCGCCACAACGGGGCTCGTTTCTTAGTTGACACAGGCACCGAGGTGAACATGATACCCTCAACACAAACCGAAAGGAAGAACCCTACTACGTCA